ACACACACACACACACACACACACACACACACACACACACACAAAGAATAAAGAACTGACAAAAAAAATTTACTCGTTGGTGTTTTGCAAATATTCTTCATTGAACAAGTCACTTTATAACAAGAAAAGAGAATTAAAAATAAGTAACTATAGTGTCTTTTGAAAACCACTAATGACTTAGTATAGCAGATCTTTACCTTTTGTTTATGTGTATGCCACCTCTCTCATATCCACTATATTACTTCCTATTAGAGGGAATTTGTATGAACTGTTAATGTAATAACTGCATGAAAATAAAGTATGTAGCTCATGTGCTATTATATCTTTTGTAAATAAAAGTGACACTACAGAATATACAAGACCTGATCTCTTCCAAATGAATATTTCCAGGCTTTTCCCTAAGAGGCCACTGCAGTTTTAAACTACGTGAGTACTTCTGTGACATTACTAACTGTATAATTTGTAGCTTGACAGTCCACACCACCTCAAGCACTTTCTACTACGGCAAAACATTAATTATTGTAAGGGCATGATTTTTTGCCTTGAAATTTAAAAATCAACTTTACTGAGATATAATTTACATACAATAAAATATACCTGTTAAATTCTGACTGGCTCTAAGCAAGCATTGATTTGCTTTCTGTCAAAGTAAGTAGAATGGGAGTAGTTTTAAAACGAATAGCCTTCTAAGTCTTTTTAGTAGAATTTTGTTGTGAGAATGTCCTCTTTGCTTAGATTCCTGGATAACTAATCTTTCACTGTAGCTGTTTTTCTGACAGTGGTGCTAGGTAGCAGATAGCAAAACAAGAGCTCTTGACCAGTAAGGCATGAGAACTGAATATTTTTGTGCATTACAAACTGATCTGTTTGTGGAAACTGAGCCCATTAGCACATTTGCTCAAGTTGCAACCAGGAAGCATATTCAAAAATAACATTTGATGACATGCTGATGTGATTACATTGTGTCTTTTCCATTTCACACATCTGTATATGGCCTTGGGGCAATTTGGGGGAGTCCTTGAGGGCATGACCATTTTTCCATGGTGTGTTTTGTAGCAAGAACATATTATCTCCACGACAGAGGGCTGCAAACACATAACTTCAGCACAGAATATACTGAATTACATTCAAACATATGACCATGGACTTGCCACTTTAGTGCTCAAATCAGATATGCCAAAACAAGTCACAAAGGAATGTTCTTGAACCTGCTTTTACCTGTATCTGTTCTCTAGGTATTTACTACCAGTTCTTTCAATACAAACCTCTGCTTCCCTAAGACCACTCTTACAATGGGACACTGTCAAGAAGGTTAAGTAAAATGTGCAAGAAGTTTTAAGACCTCACCTGAGCTCTTCTGGTTGGTGACTGGCTTGCCTTCCAGAGGCACGGCGTGCTGGAACACATGCTGAGTACGCTGGACCGTAGCCCTCTTCAGACAGATGTCCAGCAGGTCGTGTGTGGTCCCGACATTCTGGGCAAGTACGAATTGAGGGTCAGAATTCAGTTTCTGAATCAGAGCAGCGACCTTCTCCGAATTCAGTCCTGTTGGAAGACCAAACGGGATTATAACACCAAAAAGAGGCCGAAGTGGACCGATCTGGGACTCCCACACCCTGGCTCTTAACTTCCTAAGAACATCCCGAGCTGACCATTGCAGTGGAGAAGCCCTTTCCCGGCGTCCTCCCCCAAGATGCTGTCTCCCTCCCTGCCGCTCCAGCCTGCTCAGACAGCTCCATCCCCGCCATCCCCGCCATCCCCGCCGACCCGTCCCGGCCCTTCCCCGCCGCCGGGCCCCAAGGGCCCAGCTGAGCCCCCAAAGAGCACGCCGGCAAAGCCCCTGCGGGGACGAGCGGAGCCTCACCCGCGTTGTTCATGGCGCCCACGCTGCCCAGCGGGGGAACGGTAGCTTTCAGGGTTCTCAGACGAACGTCCGGGATGCACACCGGCTCTCAGACTACGCGTCGCGAACTGCCCTGCGCACCCCCAGTGCCGGAAGGAGGAAACGGGGTCCGTGGAGGCGGAATGCGGAGGCCGACAAACGGGGTCCGTGGAGGGACAAAACTCTCACCCTCGCGTTGCTGAGTCAGCGCCGGTGGGGTTGGCCCCACCCGGGGGCGGACTGAGAGGGACGGGCTCGCTGACGCACTCGGTCCTGCCCGCGTCGCCGCCCGGGGCTGTCCCTGAGGCTGCTCGGCCCCCGCTCCCTCTTCCTGCTGCCCACAGGCCGCCCGGTTGGCGCCGGCGCCCTCGGCCAGCTGCGCTCCCGCTTCCGCGCCACGGGGGCGCCCTTCTAAGAACAGCCTGCCGCGAGCGGGTAGCCTGAGGGGCTTCATGCTGGGTCCAGACCCTGGAAACTCTCGCATTGGAGAATAGACCCCATAAAACCTTTTCAGAAGATAAAAGTGGGCTCCAGGCGGCAGGGCGGAGCCGAGGGGCCTCATATTTAAGCACAGGGCTTGGGGTGGCTTGGCTCCATCACAAAAAACGTACCCCCAAAGCCCTACCCATAGGCATCCTTTGCCGACCAATCGCTGTATTTTTGAATGGCCACTTGTTGCTTGGATTCCGATCAGAACCAAGTTCTTGTATTTGCGGGGAAATCGGTACCAAGCTCTTTCCCACCCACTCAGAAGCTGCTACCACAGTTCTACAAATAGGCATCTGCTCGTTTCAAGAAAACTACCCATTCTAGGCTTCATGGAGTCGGTGAGTGTCTGCTCCCCAGCCCAGCATGTACTGTGAGCTTTAACTAAGGGGAATGACAGAGGTCAGTCTTAAGCATCCATGCTGTTTTGCCAGACCTACAAAACCTGCAGATCGCCCCCCCCCAACCCCCCTCTGTAAGATAACAGCGGTTTTCCAAGGTTTTGAGATGGTGAAGTCCTTATATATCTTTTCTTTCTTTTTTCGTGCTCTAACATCTCAACTCACAAATGATAAAACAAATACAAATATACCTGCCTTAGCATTGAAAACCCTGACGCTGCTGCTCACAACAGTGCGAGTCTTCTGTGGAACCTAGGCTCTAGGTCGTAGATGGAAAGGCATCACTGGTTCTAAGGAACTCTAATATCTGGGAAAATCCACACACAGACACGAGTCCGTCATTTGAAAAATTGTTACCAGAGACCCTTCTGGGTCCCGGTGCTTGGTATCCCGAACAAAGAATTGAGCGAGACACCAAAAGGCAGTTGTGAAAGAACAGTTTATTCAGAGCGAAAGTACACTCCAAAGAGATAGCAGGCCCGAGCAACAGAGAGGCTCAGGAGACTCCAACCAGTGAGGACTTGGAGTTTTTATTTTAATTTCTCTAGAATGGACCACTCCTCTCTAGGTGTGGGGCCACTTGATTGACACCTGTAATTGACAAGAGGCTATTTTATTACCTCATCTTTTTAGAGTACACATGTTCCTTCCCAGAATTCAGTCTGTTATAATAATATTAATGAACTTATGGGCATATGCATGATATTATAATAATGGTATAATAAGGTTAAGGTGAGATGAAGGTCGGTATAGTCTTTACTGCACAAGTGTGAGTGACGGGTCTAATCTATTTAGGTAGTTTTTGTCTCCTAGTGTCTTCGCAGTGGTTAATGGTTATGGTAGACAAGGGAAAAATTTGGGGGTAGAGGGGAGATTTCTGGGAGGTCTCTGGGTGGTCGCTCTCCCTAGGCCGTGTCAAATGTGCAGGAATGTCTGGAGAGCCCATTCCTATCTCTAACTGCCTGCCTCATTTCCCCTGAGAGGCGTGATCCCCATAATTCTTGATGGGAAGTTGAGGGACAGGAGGTGTCTTCCGTATCTGCTTCCTGCTGAATGTGGTCGTTGTCCCTGCCTATTGGGGGATTCACAGAACTCTTCCCCTAACTGATCTTAGATGAGGGGAAGGGGTCTCGAGAAAGACCACATTGGCTTCCTTGGTCAGGGTGTACTGAAAGCCTTGCTGGGACATCATTTGTATCCCAATGGCCCCTCCATGAGGATAGATAATTTTTGATTAATAGATTTAAAAGTTTTGGCCCAAGGAGCAGGACTCAAAGCTACAGACAGGGTGAAAGTCCATTTAGCTTCATGGGGCCTGTGGCCTTTTCCTGTGGTTTTAACCAGTTGTTCAGGTGGTGTTGTTTATCCAAGAGTTGGACCCGGAGCAGCCTGAAAAGACTGCTGGGTCACAATGATTACAATTAACAAGCTTCTGGGTAATTATCTGAAGTAGGGAGTAAGAGACGTTCTATGATTCAGGCTAGGAACAATCTTTAGTCTAAGGTTAAGAAACTGATTAAGACCAGGAACTAGGGAGCTAAGAAACTAGGAAAAAGGAGACTTAAAATTCCTGTAGTGAGGGGGCTCTCCCGTATCAAAATCACAAACTCTAAAGTCCCTAGAGAGACAGACCTAGCTAAAGTTTGGGGATATGACATAGCAACTGTCTTCAGTTAACTATCCTATTCTGAGATTCTTCTGATGTCTGGAACAGGCTAAAGAAAAGGAACAGGCTAAAAATTATGCTGAAAGAAATCATTGGTCCTTTCACAAACTAATACTCAAGCATCCTGACAACTTCATAAAATTTTATTCAATACCCACTGGGTACCAGGCACTGGGCAAGCTGCTGATGATGACGAGACTAACGAAGCTTAATTTTGCCCTTAAGAAACTCACAATGTAGTAGGAAAGATGCTAAATATCTTTCAGACAATCTTTACTAACATACCAGTGGTGCTGTAGAAATAGTAAGGAGGGAGCTGTTACCTAGGGTCAGAGGTACCTGAAAAAAAGAGGTGACAAGTAAGTATAATCTTAAAGAGTGGATGGGATTTTACAAAGCAAAAAAATCCAGAAGGGTGTCCAAGGCATCAGCAAAGGCACAGAGACATTAAAGCATATGGCAAAATCATGTTTGTTCAAGAAACTGTGTCATAGTTTGATGTGGTTAAGAACAAGGGAGGTGTTGAGATCTGGTGCAAGATGTAGGACTGGAGAGGTCAGTTTGGGTCAGGATATGAAGGCTTTAATGCGTAATGCCTGAACATTTGAACTTTATCCTGTGGTTAATTAGAAACCAAAATAGGTTTGTTTTCTTTTTTAAGATTTTTATTAAAATATAGTTAACATACAAGATTATATTACTGTAAGGTATACACCATAGTTATTCAACATTTATATACCTAAAGTAGTGATCACTATGATAAGTCCAGCAATTATCTGACACCATACTATGCTATCACAATATTATTGACAGTATTCCCTATGCTGTACTTACTGGTTTTCCCTTCATCTTCCCCCCTCCCCTTTTAATTTTCAATTTCAGTTGACATTCAGTATTATTTTATATTAATTTCAGGTATACAGCATAGTCGTTAGACATTTATGTAGTTTAAGAAATGATTGGGCCAGCCGAGTGGCGCATTGGTTAAGAGCTGGCTTGAGACGCCAGAGGGCCCCGGTTCGGATCCCACATATGAGGCCCAGTGACACTGCCCTCTACAGCTAAGATGCTGAACAACAGCTCAACCTGGAGCTGGGCTGCCGTGAGTCACCGGCAACGGTGTAGGCTGCAGCCCCTGCTGCAGTGGGTTGCCATGGCTATGGTGTGTAGCCAGCAGCCAGCGTGAGAGGCCAGCAGCCGCAGTGAGCGGCCGTCCAGAAGCCGGCGACTGATCTGCCTCGTTCAGGAAGAGCGCAATGATGGTGCCAACTTGGCCTAGTGAAGCAACGTCCTCTACAACTAGACTGAAGAACAAAAGGACAGCAACTTGTCTGTTCCCCTTCCCCCAATTTCCCAGCGCTGTTCCCATCCCCCAATTCCCCAATAAAAATCCTTAAAAAAAGAAGATACTATTTAAAAAGAAAAAAAAAAGAAATGATCCCCCTGACTAGTCTAGTAACCCACCTGGCACTATACATAGTAATTACCATATTATTCACTATATTCTCTATGCTTTATTTTACATCCCCATGACTATTTTGTAACTACCAACTTATACTTCTTAATGCCTTCGCCTTTTTCACCCTGCCCCCCAAGCCCCCTTCCACCTATCACCCTGATAAATCTAGTACCCATCTGACACCATACATAGTTATTACAATATTATTGACTGTATTCCCTATGCTATACCCTACATCCTCATGACTACTGTGTAACAACCAATTTGCACTTCTTAATCCCTTCCCCCTTTTCATCCACCCCTAACTCCCCTCCCATCTGGCAACCATCAAAATGTTCTCTGTATTTATGAGTTTGTTCCTGTTTTGCTTTGTTTGTTTATTTTGTTGTTTAGATTCCACATATAAGGGAAATCACATTGCATCTGTCTTTCTCTGTCTGACATTCCACTCTGCACAATACCCTCCAGGTCTATTCATGCCGCTGCAGATGGCAGGAGCCCATTCCCTTCCATGCCCAAACAATATTCTGTTGTATATATGCACTACCTACTCTGTATTCACTCATCCATTGACAGACACCTAGGCTGCCTCCACATCTTGGCCATTGTAAACAATGCTGCAATGAACATATGGATGCACATGTCCCTTTGAAGTAGTGTTTTGGGATTCTTCAGGTAAATATCCAGAAGTGGGATTATTGGGTCCTTTTTTGTGTCTTGTTATAGCCTTTGTTTTAAAGTCTGTTTTGTCTGGTGTAAGTATTGCTACTCCAGCTTTTGTGTTTGTTTGTTTCCGTTTTCATGAAATATCTTTTCCCCATCTTTTTACTTACATTCTGTGTGTGTTTTTAATAGGAAGTGAGTCTCTTGTAGGCAGCATATGTAAGGGTCTTGTTTTCTTATCCGCTCAGCCACCATATCTCTCTTTTTTTTCAGATTTTATTGGGGAACTGGGGGAGGGGAACAGACAAGTTGCTGTCCTTTTGTTCTTCAGTCTAGTTGTGGAGGACATCGCTTCACTGGCCCATGTTGGTATTATCATTGCGCTCTTCCCGGGTAAGGCAGTCTCTCGCTGGCCATTGGATGGTTGCTCACAGAGGCTCATGGCAGCTCACGGCAGCTCATAAAAGCTCACA